GTTCATTTTATAGATGAGAAAACTGAGGCACACAGAGTTAAGTGACTTGCCCAGGGTCGTACAGCTAGTAAGTATCTGAAGCTGGATTTGAGCTCAGATCTTCCTGACTCTAGACCCAGAGCTCTATCCAGTTGCCCAGGCAATGTATAGTCTTGAAGAATTGCCTAGAGTACTGAGTTGTTAAAGTGCCTTACTCAGAGTCACAGACAGAGTCTTTCTGAGTAGTTGAACCTAGGTCTTCCTGGCTCTGAGGACAATTCACTATCTACTTCACTGCACCACTTTTCATGTGTAGATTTAAACACCTTAAAATAGCAAGTTGTTGCTTGCACTTTGGTGCGCAGAACTAAAACCATGTATAACAATCTACCTGATGCAAGCTGTAGTCTTGCCAATGTTCTAAGGACTTTACTTCCCCCAAATTAAAATTTGTACTTATTTAGAAGAAAATAAAGAGTTTAGGTTGTAGAGAAAATGGAGGACTGCAACACTTTCCTCATGATGAGGGACAGTATAATATATAATAAAGTGCCATAACTCCAGTAGCTATAATTGGATCTTAATGAAAATTATCAGACTCTATTATCCCCTCATTACCTTATTATGACATTCTAAATAGAATTTTAAATGCTAATAGCAACTTTAACAGGAAGCATTCTGACATGTAATAGAGGCTTGACTGGCTTAAGATCAGGAAGGTTTTCAGGCCATTTCTGACACATGTGTCTTCTGTATAACCCTTGGCAAGTCACTTAAACACTCAGTTCCCCCAGACAACTCTAAGACTATTACATCACAAAGAAGTGGCAGATCTACATTCATGGAGAAAATTTCCTTATTAGGAATACTCAACACCAGTGAAATCATAGGTCTTGGAACAAACCAAACCACACCAAACCAAAAATAAACCCACAGGGAAAGGATAGAAGTTTCCAGAATGTTTTCTTGGTGTCTTCGACACAATATAGTTTCAATTTTCCTAAACATATTTTTAATATGAAAGCTGCATAAACTGTTTATGCAGTGCTTAGTGTGGTGCTTAATACATAACAGGTGCTTAATAAATATTGATTGATTGATTTTCACTTTTATTTTTGAAGTTTTATTTCTCAATGACCAAAAAAATACCTTATTTATAGTAATATAGGTTGGGCTTACAACTAGGATTCTAGAAGAAATACTAGGATTATAAAACCTCAGAGGTCAATAAGTGCTGTCCTATTCATTTTATGGATGAGGAAGGAAAATGAAGCCCCAAGAGATTAATTGATTTGGCAAGAGTCAAACAGATAGCAAAGAAGAGAGGCAGTATTCACTCTCCAAATCCAAGGCTCCTTTAGTGACTTTTTTTGATAGGGGCAAGGATCCCATTCTGATGTTTTAAGAGTATCCTCTCCTGATGCCCATCAGTTGGGGAATGGCTGAACAAATCGTGGTATATTACTGTGATGGACTACTATTGTATATAAGAAATGATGATCTAAGTGCTGTCAGAAAAACCTGAAGAGACTTACATGAACTGATGTAAAGTGAAATGAGTAGAAGAAAGACTATGTTGTATATAGTAACAGCAATATTGTAAGATGATCAACTGTGAATGATGTAACTATTCTCAGCAATAGAGTGATCCAAGATAACTCTGAAGAACTTATGATGAAAAATACTTTCCATCCCAAGAAAGAATTATAGACAGTGAATAGAGAGTAAAGTACACTTTTTTCAAATTTTATTTTTCTTAGGTTTTTATTTTGTTTTATGTTTTCTTTTACAACATGACTAATACAGAAATGTGTTTCACATGACTACAAGTATATATCAAAATTGTTTGCCTTCTCAGTGAAGGGAGGGGGAAGGAGAAAGAGATTTTGTAACTCAATTTTAAAAAAGAATGTTGAAAATTGTTTTTACATGTAATTGAGGGAATATAAAATACTAAATAAAAAACTTTAAAGAAAGAATCTCTCTCCCACCTCTCCAGTACAGTTTTAAACAATTTCTTGTAAAGGCCTATGGTATCCAATAGATTTTGTTCTCTACCAGGTAGTACATTTTTCCTGGAATGAAAGAATGCAGTTGAATTTTTTTTTCACTGATGTGTGGCCATATTTGAGAACTCAGAAAGGTGGAAAGGTAGAAAATAATAATGTTCTTAAAATTTTTGGAAAAGAGTTTTCTAGGGCAGAATGAAGTTGGTTTTGCTTAGCCTCAAGCTAGCAAGTGGGAATTGGGTCAGGATTTAAGTTCCCTAGAAGACAGAACCGAGGAATACGTCATAGAGCAAAAGAAGTTTTCTAGATCATAAAGAGCTAGATGAGGTGTGGGGCATCACAAAGTTATAAGATTTCTGAGGAAAGACATAAGGTTTACAGACAACTTTGGCTACTTCACAATTGTTCCTAAGGCTGGCCTTTTATATTTTGCTATTTCTTCTTTAATGTTAGGAAGAGGGGTAGCACATGGACTGTTTCATTCCAATGTTATTGGTGTCATAAACTATGTGTTTTCAAGAAGAGGTGAGCTATAAAAGGACATTCCTTTAATCCTTAAGTATAAAGTTATAGTGGCAATGTACAATGGGGTGAAGAATTTATAGAGTAAGAGTTATAAAATTATCTTTAATTTGCTCAATTGGGCCAAATATTTGTGGAAAAAATCTGAAAACAGCTAATAAACTTTATAGTATAAAAGTGCTACATTGACCACATAGATAGGTTTATCTCCAGTAAGAATATAAGTTTTAAAGGCTTTTTTTAAGTATGATTTTTATAATTGAAAGTTACAATAGAATTTTGTTAGGAAAACAGGAAAATATCAGTTCTGTAAAAATTTCATTAAATTTTTTAAAGTAGCATACCAAATCAATAGTAATAAAAAGACTAAGGTTTGTAAAATGTTTTATATATATTATCTCATCTGAGCCTTAACATCCTGTGGGGTAAGTCCTAAAGGTACCTATCCCTCAAAAGTCATAAAAAAGCATTTACTCTAAGTCTAATAAATGGTGGATTTAGTACAACAATCTAATAAATGATCTACTACATCACGTGGTCTCCCTAATAGGGTAAATCTAAATTTTCCTGTAGTCATTTGTAATTGTAAGATAATCAAAAAATCACAGTTCATATAGTCAATACATTAACCCCATTTAAAATAAAATCAAGAGGAGCAATGGAAAAGTACTTTCAGAGTACAGGTTAATGGACAGAAAAGAATCAGAAAATACTTCTTGGTCTCTGAACAGCCATGGAATGGATAGAACTCCATACTCAAAACGGCTGCTGGACTTCATGTTTGTTTGTGGTTTCTGTTCGGTCATTTTCAGTTGTGTGTTATTCTTTATTGACCCCATTTAGGGTTTTCTTGGCAAACATGCTGGAGTGATTTACCATTTCCTTCTCCAGCTAATTTTACACAAGAGAAAACTGAGGTAAACAGAGTTAAGTGACTTGCCCAGGTCATGTTTGTTTATAATACAACAAAAGAATCTCAGCTGAAGGAAAGCTTGGCCATTAAAGGAATGTTGTTTTATAGCTCACCTCTTCTTGAAAACACATAGTTTATGACACCAATAACACTGGAATGAAACAGTCCATGTGCTACCCCTCTTCCTAACATTAAAGAAGAAATAGCAAAATATAAAAGGCCAGCTTAGGAACAGTTGTGAGGTAGCCAAAGTTGTCTGTGTACCTTATGGCTTTCCCAGAAACCTAGTAGCTTTGTGATGCCCTACATCTAATGTAATTCTTCATGATCTAGAAAACTTATTTTGCCAATGTTATCTGGTCATGAGCTTAGCAGCAGCAGCAGAAGAAATGGCCACTTTCTATGATGATACAATAGCAGAGGCATCAGCTTAGTTAATTTCAGAAGGGTGAAGGGGGAAAGTTCATTCTCAACACCAATGATTAAAAGCAAACTTTATGAGACAGTGTCCAAACATTTTCTGGTACCGATTTAGTTTGAGAATGGTCATCTTGGCTCTCAGATAACCAGAGCAAGAATGTATTAAGGTAGATAAGTTACTTAGGCATGGAAGCAGGGGACCTCCAACTCTCATGGTAGTGATGGGTTTCTCTTACTGCTTGTTTTCATGTGTGAGTTGCTATTAAACTCTGGAGTTCAAATTTAGTAACCAAGGCTTGGGCCTGGCTATCTATCTTTTGAAACATCTGAGATGTCTATTCAGGGACTGGTTTTTCTTGTTTAACAGCAACTGGAGCAAACAAGGAACAGCCAGCCTACCCAGACCATGGTAGTAATTACAAAGAGTAGTCATGAAAGAGAAATAAAAAATATTATCATCTGTGATATAGATATGTATATATGTGTGTATACATACATATACATATACATATATATATATAATATATTTTTCATTTGCATTATTTAGAAACATCCCAGTTGTTTAGTATTTTCACTGAACATGATTACTTGGTTAATACAAAATTACATATTGAAAGGAAGTCTTCTGTTGCGGCACTGTATTTGACTACAATTGTTATATATATGTTAATTAAACTACATTAATATAAAAAGGTGAGAATTATTGTGATTTATTCAACATTCTATTTAAAACCCTTTTGTCATGCTACCTATGATTAGGCATCAATTTTCAAGGAGTTACAATTAGTTAAGAACCAAAATTCTTCCTCTCAAAAATATTGTTTGAATATTAACTAGCCTACAAGGTGGGTTAATTTAAAAAAAAAGTTTTTCCTCCAGAGTTCTATAGAGAAATATAAGATTTTATAAGCAATAATTGGCATATGCTCAACATTTTAAGGTTGAAATATGCTTTCCATAGATGTCATTATTTCTTGTTTGGATGGTGCCTGCATTTCTTTACATTTCAACTGCTTTTAGTTGAATCTTTGTAGGAAACTATTGGTAAAAGGCACCTCAAGCATTTAAATTCTCATCAATTGTCAGAAACCATGACCGTAGAATTAATGGTTTATGAAATTTCCCCACTAAGTTTGATGATTGTCCTGTATTTTCAGATGGCTACCCCAAAGAAGAAATGATTTATAGGTGGAGGAAAAATTCAGTGGAGGCTGCTGATCAGAAATCATGGAGACTTTATCAATTTGACTTCATGGGTCTCAGGAACACGTCTGAAATTGTGAAAACTTCTGCAGGTAGGTACTAGGTACAGTAACTCAAAACTAAGGTCTGCTTGTTTCCATGGTTAACAATTTACCAACATACCCCTGTCTTGATACTTTGGGGGTATTTCATTAACTATGCAAGGACAAGTATGACAACTGCCTTGTTTTATGTTGCATTATACAAAACCACATGCATAAAATTTAAAAAAAAAGATATATCAACTTTTGTTTATCATATACCAAACATTTTGTATTGAGTATGTGTGTATTTATGTATATATTGCCCCCAGGGACCAATTTTTGCATTGAATTTGTTGATTTATTTTTTGTTTGACATTGTGGACAGAACCTTAATCTAGGATTACTCTTGAACAGTCTTGTGAAGCATTCTTATATATGGAAATTGTCATCACTGTTAATGTGATATATACACATGTCTGCATGCAATATAAGGAAGAAAGACAAGCTATTTATCATATTTTTTCAATACCAAGTGAAAAATATTAGTTTCAGATTATTGGGAAGGGAGGCAGACAAGCATTTAAGTTTCATTTCCAAGTTCTAGAATCATCTTTTCCTTTTCTCTGAAGCATATGTTTTCTCCTTATACTTCTTTCCTTAAGTTTTTGAAACATATACATACTCTAAATAGATTGCATCATGTTGTTATTGAACTGTTAAATGAGGCATATAATGAGATGAACAGGAGGTGACAGGTATCCATATTATTTGCCACATTGCCTTATGGTCACTGTCATCCATTCCTCAAGCAATTCCAAGTTTTGTTAAATATGAAGATAACTTGATAATATTAAAGAGTTTAATGGATAGCCATGACAGTAATTAATGTCAAGCGACTGAAGAAATTCTTGATGACAAAAAATTACTCTGAATTTAGAAATGCTTTTAAATGAATTTGTATTGTGTTTACCACAACAGCATCTATACACACACACATATGAAAAATAGTAATCATTATTGTGAGGCATTATGTAGTCACTTTGGAGAAAATATGATTGTTAATTTATTATGCAGAGTCATTTCACATATTTTGTGCAGTAATGTAAGGATAATTTTGGTGCTTGGGAAGTTTAGGAGCTCATAGGAGTTGGGGATTATGAGTAACTGAACAAAGCTCTCTGAATGGTAATATAAAGTACTAGAGAGTCTGATTACCATATCATCATGGCAGTGGTAAGTGGCATGATATCTGTTTTAATGTTAAATAGTGATGAATTTTAAAGAATGGAAGTGGAGAATTTATTGAAATTTACATTTCAGTTTTGATAAATGTATGAAATTCTATGGATACAGGCTAAAACTTTTTTTTTTGTGGAGACCTGTTGCCAATTATGAACCTGCATTTATAATGAATGTTCTAATAGTGAAAGACAAGTGTTTTTTTTCCCTAAAATACTGTTGTTATATTAGCAAACTTTGGGGGTACATGGTCTTGGAAAGAGTGTTATAAAATAAGAAATCTTGATTCTATTAAACTATGAACTACAACTCTGAGTTCCAGGCTAGTGTATCTTGGTCAAATTAATATCAAGTAATGGTAAATGTTGTTTGATCAAGGACAAATCTAAGTTTCATGAGTAGGCAACTAAGGATGACAAGAATAAAAAGATGTAAATTAATGTAATCTACTAATGGACTGCCCACAAAGCTTGTAAAGCCTAGTGAAAAAAGCATACACATACATGACACAATTAGAAAGCAAGAGGCAGTTTGGTAGCACAGAGTACTGGATCACAAGTCAGGAAGACCTCATTTTGAAACCTGCCTCTGGAACTTATTAGCCATGTGACCCTAGACAAGTCATTTAACCTCTATCTGCCTTACTTTTTGTATCTGTAAAATGTCTACCTCCCAAGGTAAATGCTACCATCATATATGAGCTCTGGTGTCATATGTGCTTACGTAGTATGGGGCAGACATGAGTTGTACAGGGTAACTTCTTGTTTTTTTGTCCTTCATTCTCAAAAAGGACCATGACATCAGGGAGGTGATGCCATGACATGCAAGTGAATTGGATTTAAGTGAGGGAGGGCTGTGCAAAGTCACCAGCATCACCTTCTCCTCTGGAGCCATCTGGGTCCAGTGGCAAGATACAGTTTGGGATGACTGCAGATGGCCCAGGATGCAGTGGGAGACCTTGGTCTTTTTAAGCTAAGGTCTTTAATAGGTCTCAGTTTGACTGAGGCATCATCCATTCAGTGATTAAGGCTAGGTAAGAAATGTGGCAGAGAATGGCCTCTTTCACCTAGTCAAAAAACAATCTGAAAGGGGAAGACTCTCATGGTTTCTGGCCAAAACAGAAACAGTTGCTATTTATATTCACTGTGAGTCAATCAGGGTCCAAACAATGATCAAGTGGGAACTGCCCTGGGATTGTTGTTGGCCAATCAATGAGAGCCAGAGTGATTTGGGTTTAAGGCATGGTCCTTAAGAAAAATGCCAAGCCAAAAACCAGAGTAAGGGTTTCATAGATTCATTAAATATAAATTCATGAAAGGTAACATCTACTCCCTTTATTCCCTTTCCCTGATTCCTGTTCTATTTTACCTTTACTCCCTAAGAATCCCTATCTCTCTTCAAAGGTCAGCTTAGGGGTCACTTTGTTCCTGAGGTCTTTCCTTATTCCCTAATTGCTAGTTCTTATCTACCCCCAGAAAACACCTTGTATTTTATACTTACATCTATAAAATGTGTATTTTGCCCTTCCAATTTTACTTCATATTCAATCCTGTAATCAGGCTCAAAATTTTCAGAAATAATAGTCACATAAATTTATAGATGGTACCATTGCACATGCTTTACAATATGTCTCAGCTGTTACTTTAAGACAATGGAGGGGCAGCTAGGTGGCACAGTGGATAGAGCACTGGCCCTGAAGTCAAGAGGACCTGAGTTCAAATCCTAGCCTCGGGCCAAACATTTGACACTTACTAGCTGTGTGACCCTGGGCAAGTCACTTAATCCCAGTTGCCTAAAAAAAAAAAAACCTAAAAAAAACCCAATTGCCTAAAAAAAAAGAGAATGGAAGAAGTACTATTGATGGGTTTTCAGTGTTTAGCTTTGATGTTGAAGTAGATTCTTGTTGGCATTTATTTCATTGTCTTGTTCTGAGACATCACCTCTTTCAGGAAGGGAGCATTCTCTCTACCTGTTCCAATCCCACCCATCCTTCAATGTCCAACTTATGACGACTGCCCTCATAAAGCTTTCGTTGACCATTCCACTCCTCAATGACTACTCCCTCCTTTGATCTCCCATTAACATTTATTCTTTTCTTTTTTGGTCCATCATAATATAGTTCTTTGTGAGAGCTCTTCTGTTTATTGAAATTTACATTTCAATTTTGATAAATGTATAGAAATTCTATGGATACAGGCTAAAACTTCTTTTTTTGTGGAGACCTGTTGCCAATTATGAACCTGCATTTATAATGAATGTTCTAATAGTTGAAAGACAAGTTTTTTCCCCCTAAAATACTGTTGTTATATTAGCAAACTTTGGGGGCACATGGTCTTGGAAAGGGTGTTATAAAATAAGAAATCTTGATTCTATTAAACTATGAACTACCACTCTGAGTTCCTTGCTAGTGTCTCTTCTTTTTTAATTTTATTAATTTTATTTTTTAATTTATGGAATAAAACAAGCATTTCCATAACATGGTATATTAAAAAAATGATGACTGCACATGAAACTGCAAATCTGTTATTTACAGCTTGGTATTTCTTTTAAATATGCAATAAAGTTACTATGTAAATTTCTTTTTTTCCCCCTTAGTGTATGTCTTCTGCTTTCCAACCAGATTTAAAGTTTCACGAAACAGGAAAACACATCTTGCACTCCTTTGCATTTCCCACAGGCACCTAACACAGAGATAAACATAAAACTAGCAGCAGCATTTTCTCTGCTACATACCCTCCCCAGTCACTGAGCAGTGGTCCCTCAAGTGTTAACAGTACAAAAAGCATCTCCCAGCCTCCTTTAGAACTTGTCCCAACCTTTACATGGGTCAAATATGGTGATGAGTCAAACTCATAGAAACACACACACACACACACACACACACACACACACACACACACACACACACAATACACACCCTACTTCTCCTTCCCTAGAATCACTGACCTTGTTAATAATACCACAGATGTTTTTCTATTGTTGTTTTTCGTTGGTATGCTTTACTCAAAGGTCACAATATTCTGACCCTCCATATGGTAAAGATATTATAGACCTATGTTTCTTTTTAACATTCTTTATTCCTGACCTTGTTTAAAAAAAATGTAAATTCTGTCTTTGCCTTTTCTATTCTCTAACACTAAATGCTCTTTTAAAGCTAAGATTCGTATGTAAACAAGAAACAATGATGTAGAGCAGAGCCAGAAAGAGAACCATAGAAACAATCCAGTTCAAGCCCCACATTTTTTTTTTTAGATTAGGAATTATTTTAGAGGCTTAGAGAGTTTAAGTGACTTGCCCAGGGTCACACATACAGTAAATGTTGGTGATAGAATTTGAACCTAAATCTTCCTAACTCCAAATCCAGTACTCAATATATTCAACCTCAAGAGTAGGGCATCTGGAGTCTTGCCAATGGGCTTCCAGCTTGTTTCTGAATGCAAAAACATGCCGTCCCTGTGGGCTTGGTGGTGTAAGATTCTGATTACAGGGTAAATTTTCAGATTTCTTATTTGAAGACATTGATCTTGCCGAGTGGTTGACAGATGACTATCCTTACCTTCAATTTGCCTTTGTTGTTTCCATCTTGTTCATCTAAATCATAGGTTCTTAACCTTTTCTTAATGTCATAGACCCATGTAACAGTCTAATAAAGCCTATGGCCCCCTTCTCAGAATAATATTTTTAAGTGCACAAATTAAAATAAAGAGGCTTACCAAGGAAACCAATGATATTGAAATTGTGTTGTGGATTAGTCATGTCTGACCCTTCATGACCCCATTCTAGGTTTTCTTGGCAAAGATACTGGAGTGGTTTGCCATTTCCTTCTCCAG